ACACTCCGCTAAAACAGCCGCATCAACGCACACCGATCCGTCTGTCACTCTCACGCTCCATCCTTCCCTCACTCGTGAACAAGACCTGAGATACTTGAGCTCCTGCACTCGAGGAAGGACCCCTCCGCCTGAAGGCACCTTTTTCCTGCAAAGTTTAGTTTAAAAACTTGGGGGAAGTCTATGTGAATTAAAACAACAACTACTCCAGGCAAGTTTTTGTACAAATAACAAAAGCGGAATCGATCTGATGTGACCTTTTAGAAACCCGGCGCACAGACAGCCTTCTATAAAAACCTGACTCCAGAGTGTAAATAGAGGTTATAAAGTGGTCTGGATAAGCTGGCAGCATGAGTGACAAAGCACTGCACAGACTGTGAGCTGCAGACGGAGCACAAATGCCAACGCTAAGCCCCTCTGAGTAAGATGAGCAGTGGTGCCCTGACCGCAGAGACCATTGGGAGGTGGGGGAGGGGGGTGCAACAGAGTGGCACCGCTTAGCAACAAGGCGGGCGGGCTGTCAATCACACCAGCTGATAACAGTGGAGCCGCCTCAGCATGTGGTTGATAAGGAAATCCAACACGGTCAGTGCCCATCTCCTCGTGTTGCAAAGACTGAACACCAATGATTTTCGTATTGTGTCATTTATTCATAATGACTGTGTTTAAAATGTTACAAATCTCACATACAATCATTTTTGTGCCGACCAGAAGCTGTATCAAATGTCCACTAAAGCCATACTGTATTATTCTAATCCACTGTTCATGGCAAGTCTCTCCCACTCCACACAGAGAGCAGGGGCCGCCTTCAGGAGCCGCATTCCAGACCTATTGTACATGTTTTTAGTGGTAGTTCTTGCTGAAAAGCGAGAGTGCTATCCACCACCGTCAGTGTTGGGCACATTACTTTGAAAATTTAATTAGTTATAGTTACTAGTTACTTTTCCCAAAAAGTAACTGAGTTACTCCACTATAAAAGTAACTAGTTACCAGTAAAAGTAACTATTGCGTTAATTTTTCGTATTACCGAGCTTTAGCTGGTTGTAATTTAGGATAACTTCAAAGTAGATTAATTGTTGCAACAACGCCACCCTATTTTAGTATTAGTATTATATGTTAGTATACGGAACTGTCCTGCAAAGCACAAGACAGGCCAAGGTTCCTTTTAATTTACATTGTATTTATTTTTATACATTAATAAAACACAATATAAAATGTGCAATTGTAAGATACTATTTAAAATTAATTAGTTCCCACATACACACACAACCCCTCTGTTCAGCAGCCCTCGCGCCTGACAGACCAGAACAAGGGAAAATACAGTGCGCAGCAAGCGGGGGCAAAGCAGCCCACGGGCTGGCCCCAGCCGCGGATACCAGCTGCCAATCCCGCAGCAGCGCTGTTGCCCCAAATGAATGGGCACAGCAACGTCGAACAATGCCCAACACAGACATGGCTAATCACAACGCGGGATGAGGCAACACACAATCAAGCCGTGTAAAATAAGCGGTGTGCGGCTGCGGTCCTGTAGCAGCGCTGGGACTATGAGAGGAGCAAACTCACGAGGCCCAGCGGGCGTGTGGGCAAACAGTTCATTGTGCGACTTGAGTAACGTGCTGTAACGGGGTGTCGGCAATGATAACGCCGTTATAGTTACAGTCAAAGTCATTAGTTAGATTACTCGTTACTGAAAAAAGTTATGTTATGTCCCATCACTGACCACCGTACCACCGTGCCACCCATAGAAACTTTAAACCTGCTTGAGTAAAGTTTAGAGCAGGCTGCGTGAAGCGTAGACTGTATACAGTTGGACAATGCTAACCCGCTAGCTCAATGGGGAAGTGCTCATGGACAAAATTTGGCTTACTCACTCTGGTTTCTCTTGACTTGCATTGAATAGTAAACTCCTCCAGCTCAGGATCCGTTTGTGTTACAATCACCCTGCCTTCATTCACGGGGGAAACTCCAGCTTGCTTTAACAACCGTCTTAGCAAAACCCTTTTCCCTCATTAAGGTAAGAATCTAAAGCCGTGGAAGAAATGCACCTATAAGGAAATTGACTTCAGCTAGCTTATCTTCAACACCGGCTTCTTCCGCATCAAGGCTAGCACTGTGGTGATGTCACACTAGGTCAGCCCACGCCTAATTCACTGCCAATGGCAAGGAGATAAGATAAGGTAGACCTTCATTTGTCCCACAGTGGGGAAAATTCAATGTCATTGTTGCGTACCTAACAACAGAATAATAGATAACATTAAATAAAATACTAAAAAGAAATAAGATAATAAAATGACGTGAAACTCTGGCGCTATAATTGCACTTTAGCGGCAGGGAATGTAAATAAACATTAGTAATAATAGCAGCAGGTAAAGTAACTAGTGAATTTTCAGAACAGAAATATCAGATGAATAGAATTTGTGATAATGTAGTAATAATAATAACAGGTAAAATGACTCAGAACTAGTAAAGTGGATTATCAGAACAGATGAATGGTGTATGGACACAGCAGTTCTTATTGTACAGTCAAGAGCAGGAAGGAAGGACTTGCAGAACCTCTCCGTCACACAGTAAGGGTGAATAAGTCTGTCACTGAAGCTGCTCTCCACTGCAGACAGTTACAGGTAAGTTACTCTTCGGAATGAATAAGCAGATGATTTAGAAACATGCTCAAAAAAAGAGTCTGTTCTAAATAAGTACTGAAGAAGTCTGCGGAGGAAAGAGTGAGGGAGGAGTGTGTGTGTTTATTAAAGCCTGTATATGCATGTTTGTGTGTTGAAGCCAAACATACGAATGCTTACACCCTGCTATTTTCTTTGTAACCTAAATAAGATAAAACAAAATCTCTAGCATAAAAAAACAAGTATAAAATCTCTATCTTTACCATAATAAGTACAAAATAGTATACATAGTATCAAATCTCTACCTTTGTCATAAAAAAAAATCAAGAATGAAATTATGTGTATTCTAAATTCACATTTGAGATTTGAGCTGGGTATATTTCCTTCGGATGCTTCGGTTTCCCCTACCACTGAAAACATGTACCATAGATCTGGCATTCGCCTCCTGAACTGGTGACCTCGCTTCCATCTCTGTGTGGACTGAGAGACAAATACCCCCAATAATTGTAAAGCACTTTGAGACTCTGTTTTGTGAAAGGAGCTATATAAATAAAGACGACTTACTTAGCTGGCTCGTTTGCTGAATGTAAAAAAAAAAGATAATTGACTAGATAAGTCAAAGATGGAGTTTTGTGCCGTGATCACAAAGTCAGAGTCAACGACATAATTTAAGCGGCTCTGAGCTTTATAATGAGGTATGCCATAGTCTGTAATGGCCGGAAATAAAGTTGGCTAGCGGACCTCAATTGGCCCTGAGGCCTCAGTCTGGACATGGCTGGAACACACAGACCACTCTAAGAACTTAAATAAACGTCAATCAAATGCAACTCAATGAATACATACAGCTGCTTATACACAGCTGTGCCTCAACCTAAATCATCTGCTCTTTAAAACACATTCACCACATGGAAGCGGAAGAGAAGAGCGACATTTACAAATGAATGTAGTCTTTGACGCACAGCCTGGAATCATCAAAGTGCTCCTGAGTCAAAGCAGACAGACCCTCCAGCCTCTGATTGGTCAATAATAAGGAGAGAAGCCGAGAGGAAATGTGGATAGAGTGGTCCCTCATATTGGGCTCATCTTTCGCGGCCTTGAAGTTTTTATGAGATTTTTTTTTTTTTTTTTTTACAGTGTGCTTCACCTGTGCTTTGAGTTTACTGCAACAACATCATATAACCGCTAGCATATCATGACAGTTACCTGATTTAAAGTCAGCACCACAGTGATTACCCCCTACCCCCCACCAAAAAACCCTAATCCCCCTTCAAGGCTTATCAGAACTCTCAGAGAACTCTCTCTGGTTGACAAGAGATGATTGATTGGAGTCAAAGCGGGTTGTACAGCCAACATCACAGCAACATGCATAGTTTTCTTATCTTGTTCTTGTTGAGCGCTTGGAGTTGTCTTGTGTATGAACCGTGCTCTACAAATAAACTGGCTATGATGGTGGCATGTTTACTTCCTGCAAACGGCATGTGTAGCAGAGGGATGTAGGCTGATAATCTCTAGGCTCATAGCTATGTGAAAACTAGCAATAGACGGTCCAATTCTTGAGAGCGAGGAACTAGACCAGGGGTGTCAAACTCAGGGGCCAAATAGAAACAAAAGGAACTGGTCGGGGGTCAAAAGAATAGAAGGGATTTTTACATTATGAAGGTATTTTGACATGACTTATGTGACATGAGTTTCAATATTAATTTCTGCTTGCTTTTTCTGAAAATAAAAAATTAAAATCGGACCAAATATAAAAAACACGTTTAACTTCTAATGATGTGTTGGGTCAAAATGTTAGAACAAGATAATCATCCCTCAAGTTATTAATAATATGTTAAAATAACATTGGGAAAAAAGCTTTTGTATATGCTCCTTCTACATGGACGTGTTGCAAAAATGTATGTATTTGAATGCTTTTAGATCCAGATTGAGAGCACTTGAGACATCCACATTGAAATTTAAGTATTTTTATAATCCGTAATTTTATGAAATTGTATGTGACTGTTTTATAATCTGTAATTATATGTAACGGTTTTTATAATCTGTAATTGTATGTAACTTTATGTAATTTTTGTCCAGGACTCCCTTGATAAAGAGGTTCATAATCCGAATGGGACTTTCCTGGTTAAATAAAGGTAAAATAAAAAAATAAAAAAATAGGGGCCACAAAAAATGGTCTTGCGGGGCCAAATTTGGCCCACGAGCCTGAGTTTGACACGCCTGAACTAGACCAGAGACTGTAAAAACTAGATCCATCAACCCGATTTAAGGGCACAGCTCGGGTCAAATATTGAGCTTCCCCAAAAGCAGCTCACACAGGAGCAGGAGCAGGGAGAGGAAGAGGGAGAGGGAGAGGGAGAGGGAGAGGCAGCTCATGTGTGGTACGTGTCAGGACTTACAGATCTTGTGCTTTCCTTTCATGGGGAACTTGACGATCAGCTCCTGGGGCCTGTCGCAGATGAAGACGAAGGGAGAGGCCGACTCCTCGCACACCTCCGGACACTGCACACACAGGAACGCACACATGAGGACGCACATACAAACACACAAAATATTTAACAAAAAAAAAAATTAAGTTAAAAATGAGGTGTAAAAACTTCCATTGGTAACTGACTTTTATCAATACCATATTTTTAGACGTTTCATATAATATCATTTTTTCAATTTAAATAATACTTTTACTACTACTGTAGACACAGCTGCCCTGGGGCAAACTAACAAACGTGACCAAAGGCAACCAGTATGTGCAGCATTTACATCTCTGAGTTTTGCAGTCATGAAATAATCAAATTTTGGCAGTGTCTGGATCCAAGATTATTTTGAAAGGAATGGGACGTTATGACGGTGGTCTGTGCTCTACGAGGGCTTTTCTAGTTGCTCCTTCATCCAGCAGAGTTATTGAATATCCTTCCACACGACGCAGCTATAATTAGACGTCCGCTCCCATCAGCGGCGATCATTTCTCTCCGTGTTTAATCGTTGATGCACAGTTGTCAGAGGCTTTTAAGCTCCGGAGCCTAAAGCAGTTTCACAGAGATTGTTTTTTCCCCATCAAGGCCCGTTTAACACTGAAGACATATGGATCGGGGCAAATTCAGTTATTACATTTGAACGAAAGTAAAGATTGAGATTAAGAGGTCATTTATACGTCCCACAGTGGGGAAATTTCAGTGTTGCATCGCCAGTTACAGTAGCAAAAAGGAGCACACAGCAAGTGGAGAATAAGTCTATACTAAAATAGAATACAATCCTAACTTTGGCATAATTAAGAACCAAGTATAACTGAAAATTCTCCACTGTGAGACGAATAAAGGATTATCTTATCTCATTTCTAGTTAACATAAGGTTATAGTGGTTTACCAAAAACACATCTACTGTATTTAAATACACCAAAAATCCAAATCTGCCAACTGCGGCGCTCCCTCATGTTGCTCTCAGTCTCGTGCACAGAGAGACATGTGAGCGTTCTGACCAATCAGAGCGCAGCTGATCAGGGCGGGACGTCAGCGAGTTGTTTGTACCGAAGTGTGGATATGTAGAAAACCAATGGATTTTATAAGTAACACAATCAAGACTCTGATAGCCAAAAATCCCCACAATCTTCCCAGGTTCCCCATCTGCTGAGGACTAGCTGTTTTTGTCAACATTGAGGTCTATGGGAAATATAAGACTGGCTTTACACACAGCACAAGATGATAGTAACAATAACTATACTAATAATCTAATACTGAAAATAATAAAAAAAATCTATCTTTAAAATAGTAAAGAAGTATAACGACATTTGGCAAAAATGAGGCAAGTATAAAGAATTGTGTATTCTAGTGCAAGCACTGTCTAGTTATGTTAGCATCTGTACATGTTAGCAGCAGTATGTTTACATCTGTACATGTTAGCAGCAGTATGTTAGCATCTGTACATGTTAGCAGCAGTATGTTTACATCTGTACATGTTAGCAACAGTATGTTTACATCTGTGCATGTTAGCAGCAGTGTGTATACATCTGTACATGTTAGCAGCAGTGTGTATACATCTGTACATGTTAGCAGCAGTATGTTTGCATCTGTGCATGTTAGCAGCAGTATGTTTACATCTGTACATGTTAGCAGCAGTATGTTTGCATCTGTGCATGTTAGCAGCAGTATGTTTACATCTGTACATAAGCAGCAGTATGTTTACATCTGTACATGTTAGCAGCAGTATGTTTACATCTGTACATAAGCAGCAGTATGTTTACATCTGTACATGTCAGCAGCAGTATGTTTACATCTGTACATAAGCAGCAGTATGTTTACATCTGTACATAAGCAGGTGTATGTTTACATCTGTACATGTTAGCAGCAGTATGTTTACATCTGTACATGTTAGCAGCAGTATGTTTACATCTGTACATGTTAGCAGCAGTATGTTTACATCTGTACATGTTAGCAGCAGTATGTTTATATCTGTACATGTTAGCAGCAGTATGTTTACATCTGTACATGTTAGCAGCAGTATGTTTACATCTGTACATAAGCAGGTGTATGTTTACATCTGTACATGTTAGCAGCAGTATGTTTACATCTGTACATGTTAGCAGCAGTATGTTTACATCTGTACATGTTAGCAGCAGTATGTTTACATCTGTACATAAGCAGGTGTATGTTTACATCTGTACATGTTAGCAGCAGTATGTTTACATCTGTGCATGATAGCAGCAGTATGTTTACATCTGTACATGTTAGCAGCAGTATGTTTATATCTGTACATGTTAGCAGCAGTATGTTTACATCTGTACATGTTAGTAGCAGTATGTTTATATCTGTACATGTTAGTAGCAGTATGTTTACATCTGTACATAAGCAGCAGTATGTTTACATCTGTACATAAGCAGCAGTATGTTTACATCTGTACATGTTAGTAGCAGTATGATTAGTTAAGGAAACAGTCCAGAATTGTCCAATATTATTTACTACTTTAGACGAGAGTCTTTGTGCACAGAGCTCAATTATTACCCTGGTTGCCCTAGTGACTGGAAAATGAACTTTGTGCTGTCATTTTCCTCAGACTCGCCCACTGCGTGACGTTCTGGATGCACCTGCTTCTCACCGAGCACCTAAAGAGGCGTCCTCAGCGTGTGGCGGCTGGTACGGTGCGCTCGCTTCGCCTCTGACAGTAAAAGTCACGTGCTAAACAGACACTAACACAGTGACGGCTCTCTGAACGTTCTATCATTCCCCTGAGCCCTCTGCAGTTTACATGGATAAGAATAAAGACTACAAAATTCCCCTGTGCTGCGGGGGGCGCTCTGGAGCCGCAGTTGCCCTCCTCTCTCTACCGCACCTCTCTCTCAGCATGAGTCGAAGCTCCCGCAGCAGCCCCTTCTCTCCGCAGTCTTTAATCTGGCATCGCCCTGCTGTGTACTTTCATCTTCTTTTTCCTTCCCCGTTTTATTCTTCTTTCTGGGACCCTGAAAGTCCAAAAGCAAATCCGAAGCAGCCAAAGCAGCTTCCTAGTTTGTGCACTGTAAACCCTGACAAGTAAAGTTTACTTGAAAAAACCATGAAAATAAATTGCGTATTAACTTCACTTGAATTCCTTGAGTACATCCTTTACTTGATATTACCAAGTAACTCAAGTTATTGCAATAAAGTTTAAATTTCTACCTATGTTCCAACCGGGATTCGTACTCAGTACCCTGTAGTTGAGAGGTAATGGTGTTACCCACTCAGCCACCAGGCCACCCTGGCATTAACATACCTGCCTCATTAAAGATTCTACACGTCAAAATGTCAAAAGTGAGGCTTACTTGAACAGAAACAGTTCAATTCAAAGAAAACCCTGAGTAACATAGGCAAGCTTTAAATAAACTAACAATAAATGAGTAATATTTACTTACTGGGAAAAATCAATTTAAAATAACTTTGATATCTGAAGTGATTGAAGTTAGGGTTTACAGTGTGACTTCCTGTTACTCACAATGGCTCTCTGATTATAATGTGGCCCGCCCGAGGAAAACGTTGCCCATGCTTACACTGACCCCTGTGACCGAGTTGGAAACTGTTTTTTTGGCTCAGCCCTTGTGGCTATTTTTGAAAATATTTAGAATTTTTATTTAACCATGTATGTAAGTAAGTAAGTTATATTGCACATTTTTACAGACCAAGGTCAACCAAAGCGCTTTAGATATATTTTTATCTTTTTTTTAATGTACTGTGATTATTTATGATTTTAATGCTTTCTTGTTTTGTTCAGCACTTTGAATTGCCTTGTGTATGAATTGTGCTATACAAATAAACTTGCCTTGCCTTGCCTTGCCTTTACAATGCTTTACAAGAAATCAGATACAGTAGTGGTCACACACAGTGATGTTGGAAGCGAGCATAGACTGTATATATTAACGGACGTAGTCACGCTTATATCGTCCGTTCTAACTAATGGTCCAAAAATTGGGCTTTCATGGAGTGATTCAAAATGACCGCAGGGGCTGGAAGATGAAAAAATGAAAAAACACATATGCGCATGCGTCAGCCGGCACGAGCCCCATTCATTTAAACGAGAGACTTCAAAAATTCACAGCGAGTAAACTAGACTCAGCATTGACACACATGAGGAACGGAGCTTTTGGCCAAGAGCCAACTTTTGGACCATCCTGTAAAGACGTTTTTGAGAGGTCTGCCAATGCTATATGTTAGCATTGGCTATTTCTTATTACGGGTCCACCCCCATCGGCCCGGGGTGGTATTGCAAGTATGTCAGCGCACGTCATTTTGGCCACTTTTGAGTCGGAACGCGCCCCCACTGGCAGCGAGACGACGAACACACTGGAGCGTCAAAGCCTCCCATTACAAATATAATGTAAGCCACTCATTACATTCAGACCTATTGTGTATGTTTTTAGTGGTAGGGGAAATGGTAGTACCCGCAGGAAACCTACACAGACACAAGGAGAGCATGCAAACACCTCTCAGAAAGGCCCTGTTCCAACTAACCTTCTTGTTGAGAGCGAGAATGCTAACCACTCAGCCACCATGTCCTTGTCAATTGTATGTTATAATGATACATGTGGAACTATGGAAAGGCATGGCAAGTTAATTTGTATAGAACAATTCATACACAAGGCAACTCAAAGTGCATATATGTGTTGTTCTGATTGAAATAAACGGAACTTAGAATTTAGGTTTGCTATTTATCCGTGCCATTTTACATTTTACAGTTCTATGTAGCATTGCTTTCCCACTAATGCCCTAAATAAAGATGTTTTTTTGCAGCTGCCATGACTGCTTTTGTGAACACGTACAGCAGATAACAGCGTGTAACTGGCATGAAACTATAAGTTGATTAGTATGTCATGCAAATGCTGGAACAGAATGTACCGTGTGTGTCTTACCCACACGACGCCTTTGTGCTTAACCTGTCTTCAGTGATTGCAATTAACAGTGATGAGATTAGAGAGAAGAGGAGGATAAGGAATACAGCCTGAGGGGGGCGAAGAGGAGAACGTACGATCGATACATGACTGGAGC